GGGGTGAATGTAGCTGATGTCCCTCCCTGAAATGTGCCTTTCAGCTGTGAATACAACCTGGACAACCACAGGACCACCTTCCATCCAGTTGGCTCCTCCGTGGCCTATCCTAGTCACTATCAGAGGTTTGACGTGAAGACCTTTGCCTTTGTGTCAGGGGCCCAGGAGTTCCCTCACTTGGTAAGTGATTAACGAGTCGCCTGGGTCACGTCGAGTGTGAGAGCATCGATTCCACTCAATTCTTCTCCCATCTCCAGGTCTACTTCCATTGCAGTGCCTTAATCTGCAATCGACTCTCTCCCGAACCCCCTCTGTGTTCTGTGAATTGCCTTGTGTCGTCTAGAAGCAAACGAGGTAAAAATTTCAAGTCCTCCTTAACATGAGTGTGCTTAAAGCAAGCCTCAGTCTTTGAGAACTTAAGAATGAGCACCTCACTCTTTACCTAGTCCCAAGAGTCCAAGAAACCTTAACTCAGTCTGCATTACCTGTGAGCCTGAGATGGACAGGTTCTCAATCAGTCCTGTGGACAAGTTTGTTTTTGCACGTGGGTTTCAGCCTGACCCTCTGCAGACCTGACTCTCAAGTCACTCTTCCCGAGTCTAAGCAGACTCTAAATTCTGTCTTTGGATATTCTTTCACAGTTCCTCCTGCTTTTACAGTAAGGCATTTGCCTCTTCTGCAAAGGCAGGCAAAACTATACAGAGCATGGCCTCCGCAGAGAGCTGCTCTGTGTATTCCATCAGCATACTTCTTACCACTGTCCATTATCTCAGAGGTCAAACTGTCTGTCTCCAGCCACAGGGGCCACTGAGGAAGAGAAAATGATAGTCAGTCTCCCGGGCCCCATCCTCCTGTTAGACGGCTCTTCACTCAGAGGTATGGATTTAAAGCCTTGGGTACTTCTTGGACTCAGCTTCTTGGGTTTCTGTCAAATTTAATTGTGCATAGATAATACATGCTCATGAGAAACAAGAAGGGAATAATAGTCTCTTCCCAGCAGTAGGCTCTGTTAAGTCTCTTGTGTACCCTTCCCCAAGTCTCCCCTCCCCACGAGTGGGATCATATATTGTACCTACTCGTCCGTAACTATTTGTTTTAGCCATCTTATATCTGCAAAGAGACCTCTCACTGTTAATAACTAGAAAGAATTCCATCTGCGTTACTTCCAGTTTTGTCACTAACGCCACGATGGAAACCTTAAATCTTGGCCTACGATTCAAGGACGTCAGGGTATATTTCTAAAAGTGAGACTTAGAGTTTCAAAGACATGTCTTGTTACTACCAAACTTAAGCCTTTATTGTTGATGTTATTGTTGTCCCATATCCTCACCCCCAATAGTCATAATTGTAGGCCTCGAACTTGTCATTAAGCTCTCTTAAATCCCTAGCTAACAACCTGCAAGAGACCATGCCCTTGGGACAACTAACCACATCTGTCAGTGCCAGAATGTTAAACGGCACGCTTGGGACCGTAAGGTCCTTTCCGGGTGTCAGCCCATCTGATCTTGAGGGGAGTAAAAGCAAGGAGGAAATGCCAGCTGTGGGAGTGGGGTCGGGAGAGGGGGGGGTTTGGCTGGAGGGGTAGGACTATGCTGTTGCAAGCATCCCAGACGAGTCCTTTTGAAGTTTAAATTCACTTCCTTCTCTGGGGAGCTTACATGTAAAGTTTCAGCTTCAACTTACACTCGATTTAAATACGATCTTAAGACTGGAATGTCTGCTTCCTTTCCAGGCGCTGTGGAGTCCAAAGGGCATGGGACTGCTGGTTTTGTTGCCTTTAAAACTGTGGTGGCTGGGGTTGCCTTAGCAGGCGTTGTGGGAACTCTCGGCTTCATCGGTTACCTGCGCAAGAAAAGAACTATAATGTTAAATCACTAATCGGGTTTTCAAATAAAGTGGTGGAAGTAAGCCTCTTGCTTTTCTGTCTCATTAAGGTTAGATGGAGTTCAAGGACTGTTTCTTGCAGTCATTCTTCTTTAGAGAATATAGTACGTTTCCACAATCCCCTGTGCAGGCTTTGGTCTACGTGGATGTGAATAAGCATATTTCTGACTTAATTGATTCCTGTCACTCAGCTTTTTCTCACCACCACCCGCTAAAACTGGCAGTGCCAGTGAAGTCGATCAATAACAGGATTTAGTGACAGCCCTTTTCTGGGGGTGCGTTAAGTGATTTTAATGTCTTTTACACCCTTCTATTCACATATATTCAAGATGAGGGGGACAAAAAGTCACCCCTACAAGATGAGGGGGGCAAGAACTCATCCCTAATCATTGGCATTATTTCCTTGGGAATACCCGGTTTCCTTTCCCTTGTAGAGAGGGAAGTTCATCTGGTATCGTAGTATTTCCTAACCCAAATTACTCTTTCAAATAAGTAGACAATTTTCCCCAAGAATTTAAGGGATTTAGTTTCTCTTTTGTGTACTTCCAATCCAATTAAAGACCAACAATCTCCTCTGGAAGCAGGAAAGAATACTATAAGATTCTAGCTTTCTGGAATGCAAGTAAAACATTCCTGGCGGAAACGAATGGGCTTGGATTCAAACTTTTTCTGTGACTATGCCATGATAGTGTTACACATCAGAACCAGAAATATTACATGTGCTGCATTTCTTACAATGGCATTTGAAAAAAATGTCAGCCCCTTAAATGGCCTCCTGACCCGGGTTGTAGGCTGCATAACGGCCACTTGGAACATATCCACATCCTAATCACCAAAAACTTAATATTGTTGTCTACTGATGGCCCCAAATGGACTTTGCAGATGGGTTAAGTGTCTTGATGCAGGGAGATTATCCAAGTGGGCCCAATCACAAGGCTCCCAATAAAACAAGTGGTGGAATCAGAAAAGATGTCCCAGTGGAAGCAGAAGATGGAGTGATGTCCCCAGGCCAAGGAACGTGGGCAGCCTACAGCGGTCGGGAATGGCAAAGAAATGGCTTCTCCCCTCGAGCCTCCAGAAGAACACAGCTCTGCTGCCCCGTTTTGGACGTCTGAATTCCAGAGATGTAAAATAACTTATTCTAAGCCACTAAGTTTGTATTAACTTGTTACAGCAGAAATAGGAAGCTCATATACCTCCTAACGAGTCACTACCCCCAACTTGGAAAGACACTTTGCTGGACGTGCACATTTTACAGATGAGCGACTTGAGCCCAAGCACAGCTGGTCCAAGATGCCAGTATCTTGATTGTGGAGCTGGAGCTTCTTATTTGCAAGTTGCTCTGTTAGTGTAGAGTCAGAGGTCAATACTAAGGTGACCTGGGCCTCGAGGCTGTCCCCTGGCAGGTTGGTTCTGATGTGTTTGCAAATGCTGAGGCAGAACTTTGAGAGAGGAAAGCCAGGCTGGCTGTGGAGCAGCTGCTGGAATGAACACCTGTTGCCATGGTAGCCTGGAGCAAGCACAATGAGAGGCTGTCAGAGTCGTGTTCTCAACTCCTGAAGGTACACATCCTACTGTATGTGGGGGAGGCAGCCCAGTCAGCAGAGAGGAGCTGTGTGGGCAGAGACAGGGCTCAAATGCCAAGAAGCTGCTCCCTCATCCAAACTTGTGTTTGTAGTCTCCCTCATCAGGTACCTTAACTCAGGTGCCAGGAGATAGATGAAAGGCATTTGGGATTCTAATATGCTACTGGATAGCTCTGATGGTGCAGTTTGTAGGGGCTGGGGATGGGCTTCTGTGCCTCAGGAAATCCCCCCAAATGTTGAATTTTCTTCCCTACCCCGTTCTACTGCATTAAGCAGTTCTATGGAATATGGAGGGCTCTAGAACAAAAGCTTGGGTTCTGGGTCTGTCTCCCTTACTGCGTGTCCTTGGACAGATGGAAGAATCTCAGAGCCTTTTTCCACGTGTATAAAATGAGAATAAAACCTACCTTGGAAGCATGTAAGGGTTCAGTGAGATCGTCCACATGTTGGCATATTTGCTGCTCAGGCAGCAATGGAGCCATCTAAACCAAACCTCATTCTATCAGTCACTGAAGGTTGAATAAAACTCTGTGCTAGGTGAGAGGTTCTTAATCGTGCACATATTTTGTAAAAATATACAGTGTCCTGATCTCACCTTTATCTTTAAGAATCTTTAAGGAATGAGGTCAAAGCATGTTTAGGCTCTACAGGAAGCTGAATAATGGCCCCCAAATACCCATGTCCTAATCCCAGTAACCTGTGAATGTTACCTTCCATGGCAAAAGAGACTTTGCACACATCATTAATTTAAGGATCTTGGATGGGGAAATTATCTGGATTATCCAGGTGGACCTAAATGTAATCACAAGTACCCTTATAAGAGGAAGACAGGGTGAGATTTAACTGGAGAGGAGAAGGTGGTATTATGATGGAGGCAGAGGTTGGAGGGATGCACTTTGAAGATGGAGGAAGGGGCTTCAAGCCCAGGAGTACAGGCTGGACATGAGAAGCTGAAAAAGTCAAGGAAACAGATCCTCCCCTAGAGCCTGCAGAAGGAGCCAGCCCTACTAATGCCCTGACTTTAGCCCAGGGAAACTGTAAGAGACCTCCAGAATTCCAAGAGAATAAATCTGTGTTATTTTTAAGCCAGTGAGCTTGTGGCAATTTGTTCAGCAGAAAGAGGGAACTAATACAAGCTCCTCAGATGCTCTGACATACACCCCTGGGTAAGACCCACAGGGCTAGACAAAGACAAAGACTGTGTAGACAAAGAATGTTGCCCACCATTTCAGTAAACAAAGAATTTTACCAGTCATCAAGCTCTCAGCTCCAGCAGCTGCCCCTGATGTTGTGCCCTGAGGAGAATTCAGGATGGAGAAAAACAGGAAACTGGCCCTCGATAGTTAAGATGCATATCAAAGGAATGGTCTCAGAGAGCGCAGACTCAAGCATCTTCCCACACATAGAAAAGCACTAAAATGATTAACTTGAGATGTCTGTTTTTGTGACTGGCCGTAATCTTGTGATGTTCAACTACACGTTTGTTTTTGTTTTTTCACAAAAATGCCAGTATAACCTGGCTCCTCCCTGACCTCTTTGCAACAGTTCCTCAAAGCTGTCTGAGAGGCTGTTTCCAGGCTATAGTCCCACTAATGTCCTTGGATAAAGCATATCTCAATGTTTAGATTGTATATTTTAGTATATGTGCTGCCGAAGCGAGCACTAGATTGTATATTTTTTTCAATTGACATTTTGTTCATCAATGGCATAGCATACCCCTACGGCACATATCCTGATTGGACTAAATAATCAAGATAAAGCCTCAATTCCCCTTGCAGATATTTGTTTAGTGGTGGGTACATGATACTGTTCTGTTCAATGAGATTTAGGAGGAAATTGGGAGGGGACTTCTGTCTTTTTCCTCATTTCAAAAAAAGTTATATAAAGCTAGCCCCTTTTCTCCCTGCTTTTGGATATGGTTATGTGACACTGTGATTCCTTCAGCGTTGGCAGCCTTCTTGTGACCATGAGGAAACAAACCTGAGGATGCTCTTTCAGAGCAGTGGAGTAAAAACACAGAAAGACTAGATCCCTGATTACATTGTTGTGTTTTTTAACTCAACCCTAGAACCACTTAGATCTGGATTTCATGTTTAGTGAGAAGTTAAGGGTTCTTATTTTTCAGGGGAGACATTTTGTTTCTAGTAGGTAAAAGCATTCAAGAACATTCAGGCTCAAAGAACCCTTATTTTTAGGAGAAAGTTCATGACTATCATTTGCATCTACAGAACACACCATGTTATATGTAAGCTTTCCTTTGGATTAATAACCAAATTGTTACAAACCAAGAATGAGAATACCTTTTGTTAACAAATTTATTTTGCTTTGGCTCCCTCAAGGCCCAAAAGAACCAAAGTCTGGTTCGTTCATCTTTGAATTCCCACTGGTACTTCTGTGAAGAAAGTGATTTGTCCAAAAATGTAGTCCAAAGAAGCTTGATTCAAAGCAGACAGCACAGTCACTTCTCACCCATATGCACAGATGGATTCTCCTGCTTTAATTCAGTTCCAGGGTCAAAGGAGAAGGGAAGATGTCATAAAGCAAGCGCTGGATGCAAGAGACATGGATTCTATTCCTGGCACTGCAGACGTACAGTGTGCACCCCTTCTCTGGGCCTCGGGTGTACCAGCTGTAGAAAGAGAGGACTAGAGAGAGCATCTATTACCTTGCTACTCAAGGTGTGGTCTGTGGAAGGCTCTAAAACCGAGGGCAGTCATCATAACTATAACTTGCTTAATAAATAATATCCTGTAAACTGCCTTCACTGACCACGCTTGCTTTAACTGCTTTACAAATTGCATACCCTCCAAACTTCACGTAGCTTGAACAATATATATATAAGACTCCTTTAACTGCCCCCTATAGATAACACCTCTGATGTATGAGTCGCTATAGTAACGGTTGCTTAGGTTGTTTTTAAGGAACATGGAGCTAGTCTTGCCCAGTTCAAACCGGTTGAGACCACCAGCCATAAAACTGGGCCTACACTAACGTCTGATGGGTGACATTTTGACGTCAGAGGTCAAAAACTGCACCCTTAGATTATGCAAATTCTGCCATTTTCTGAACGTGTGTCCCATGAAGAAGCATGTAACTCAGATACGTCTGTGCAGAACAGCAATTACCTCGCCTTTTTCCTGCCTGCAATCACCTTCCCCTGCACCTCTGACCACCTTACACTCTCCACCCATAAACATCCCAAGCCTCTCACCTTCCAGGAGGCGGACCTGAATCTTGTTCTCCTGTTTCCTCGCTTGACTGCCTTGTGAATAAACCCTTTCTCTGCTGCAAACCTCAGCGCTTGTCAGGCAAACAAAACTAGTTCGGTAACAGCTTCACCAGGAGCCAAGTCATGCAGAAACTCAAGTCCTGCTCCAGACCTACAGACTCAGAATTTGCCTTTTAATCCCTTGTAGGCATGCACATTAACTTTTTTTTTAATTGAAGTATAGTCAGTTTACAACGTTGTGTCAATTTCTGGTGTACAGCATAATGTCCCAGTCATACATACACATACACATACTCGTTTTCATATTTTTTCATTATAGGTCACTGCAAGATATTGAATAGAGTTCCCTGTGCTACACAGTATGAACTTATCATTTATCTGTTTTATATATAGTAGTTAGTATCTTAAGAAGCACACTCTAAAGCTTCTTCCTGCTCCCAGTGCTGTCTGTGGCTTCTCAGCTGGGCCACCTTCAGATCGCCTGGATGTGAGTGCCTCTACTGGCTGAGAAATTCAGCACTTTCTAGCTTTTACCTCCCACTCGAGGAAACAGCAGCATATAAGTGAAGTACCGTACGGTTAGCCATTCTCAACCTTGTGACAACTCACACCTGATCATGTCCCACCAGGCTGTGATATCTCCTGTTCTGTGTGGAGCAGACAACAGAAGCCACGCAGAGGAGGTGGTTGAAACGGTACTTCTACGTGCACAACTCTAAGTGGACCCCACCGTTCACACTCTGTTTTATGAAAATGCTGATCCCCCAGGGTTACTTGATACAGCAACAAAGGTTATGGCAACAGTCGCAGACAACGCTTACTGGGACATGGGTCCGGGCTCAAGCCTTAAAGGCAGGTGGAGGTGTTAACCTTTAACAGCTCACTGGTTACATGGGTGGGTTTCTCAGTCAGGCGAGCTGGGCTTGAATCCCATGTCTGCTTCTGCAGGCACTTAGGCAATTTCAGCCCTCGATCTTTCAGCCTCACCTCTAAAAGTGGGTGGTAGTGAGGACTGACTGAAAACGTGGATTCAAGTAGAGGACTTAAGATGGCACCTAACACAAGGCAAAAACAAACACTTACCATGTACGGATGAATTAATGTTCTGACTGTACTAAGTCACAGTCTTCATATTTTAAGGATCAATTACCTTTCCAAATAAGCCACACATTGGACTGTGCCTAAAAGGCCAACAATACTTTTTTTTAACCGAAGTATTGACAAATAATAGTATATTAGTTTCAGGTGTACATCCATGATTCAAGTCTACGTACGCTATGAAATGGTCATCACAATAAGTCCAGTTACCAATTGTCACCATACAAAGCTAATTCAATATTATTGACTATATTCCCCATGGTTAATCTTACATCTCCACTTTTGAATGACCAGGGAGTCCTAATGTTACTCCAAGCTTGGCAAGCAGTAGGATTTTTACAAGTTCCTGTTCCCTCCGTTTTCTATGATGATGAACTGTGCATTTTGACTATTCTTTACAGGCCTATTCTGTGGCAAGCACTATGCTGGGTTCTGTACATTATTTTACGTCGTTTGACCAGCAAAGTCCTTAGGCTGCAGGCAGCGTGACAGACAGAACCTGAATTGCAAGCTTTGATTTAGATGTCAGGTTTCTTGGTAGAACTGATAAATCATTTCAGCTCTGAACCTTGGTTTCACCTCGAAAATTCCAAGGCT